GAGTCTCATGGGTACTGGGAAGGTGGCTCAGTGGTAGAGTGCTTGCCTTGCATACATGAGTCCCCAAGTTCGATTCCTTAGCACCACATAAGCAGAAAAAGCCAGAAATGGCGCTGTGGCTCAAGTAGTAGAGTGCTAGCCTTGAGCTGAAGCTGAGGGACAGCATCCAAGCCCAGAGTTCAGGCTAAAAAACGACAAAATAACTAAATAAAATTTAAATTAAAAAAAAACTCTCCCACACTTTCCTGCCTGGGCTGGCGTTGAACCGAGATTCTCAGATCTCAGCCTCCTGAGTAGCTAGGATTACAGGCGTGAGCCACCAGCGCCAGACACACCTTATTTTTCACAAGCCCAAAATTCCATTTTGCTTTGGGCTGGAAGCCCTGGTAGTAAGTCCTGTGCGCTAGGAAAATTCAGCACCTTGGACAGCGTCAGCTCCCTTGCTTGTGCCTGCTTGCAAGTACTTTTGAACACGTGAGCCGGCACTGAGTGGGGTTTGAACTCAGGGCCTCAGGCTCTTGCTTGGCTCTTTCCACTCAAGGCTAGTGCTTTTCACTTGAGCCACACCTCCATTTCCCAAATTTTGTGGTTAATTGGAGATAAGAGTCTCATAAGTGCTGTGCTGACTTCAAAGCACAGTCATCAGATCTTAGCATCCTGAATAGCAAGGATGGCAAATGTGAGCTACCATACCCAACCCGGTGCCTTTTATGCAGTGATATGTGTGTGTGTGTGTGTGTGTGTGCACACGCAGGTCTCTCATCTAGTCTCAGGCTTCTCTAAAGAGGTTAAACATTGCTTTAGAAATCGAAATTTCTTCTTGGATTTCTCCAAAGGGCTCAGGAGACGGGAGATGGCTGTCTGGGGCTTCGGGACCTCCAGATTTTCAGTGTGGCGGTGATTTGCAGTGAGCAGATTTGCAGATTCCCAGACATGATATAAGACAATTGCCACGTATTCTGTCTCTTAGAAGGAGAAAGGATTTGCAGTGGGTTAATAGTACTTTTATTTCATTATCTAATGGTAAAAGTGCTTCATTGTGTGTGCAAGATGAATGCGAGTGAGCAGTGACAAATGAGGTCTTTCAGCCCAGCCGGGCCTCGTCCTGCCTATGTTAGATTAAAGAGTTCACCCTGGAAATAGGCGCACGCGTCTGCGTGTATGTTTTTAATAAATCTGATTGCAGGAATTTATTGCACCGCCGGATTTAGGAAATTATGCGGCTTGATTGCTACAAATATAATCGGGTGATATATACAGAAAGGCTCAAGTTATGATCCAGGAAAAAAATAAAAAGCCCATCTCAGGATGGTTAGCAGAAGCAGCCGACCACATAAACAGAGCACTGCTTGAATTATGCAAATAAAGCCCATCACAACTCCTGGCGAATGACGCTCATCTGGCAAAACTGCCTCCGTTAAAGTGAAGAAAGCTTTGAGAGGGGTGATCAAATTTGTGCATATGGCCAAGCCTGCTGGCTCACGCCTGTAATCCCAGCCACTCAGGAGGCTAAGAACAGAGGACCAAGGTTCCAAGCCAGCCTAGGCAGGAAAGTCCATGAGACTCTTATCTCCAATGAACCACCAAAAAGCCAGAAGTGGAGCTGGGGCTGGGGTGGAAGAGTGCCAGCCTTAAGTGAAAAAGCTCAGGGATGGTGCTCAGGCCCTGAGTTCAAGCCCCAGTTTACTCCTTTGTCTCCTCGTTGGTCCTGTCTGGTTAGGCCCTGGTCTGACGCCATGGCTGTGCAAATCCGAAGCTGGTTGCTCTGAATCCAGGAGTCTTCCGTCAGGCATTTCTTCTATTCCATGTAGAACCTTCCATGATTTACTGCCGGGTACACAGAAGGTCAGCCGGCTTCTTACTGGCGCCTTCATTTTTCCAAAATCTACGGAAATTAAAAAGCCATCTATATCTTAAGAGGCGTATTTATGAACCTTTAAGTGAGCCAGTTCCGGCTGGCGCGGTTCCCACATCTGATATATGAAAGCTGTCGACAGCCGCGCCTTACACCATAATCTGCCCGCACAATATGCCGTGCTTTACTATTTTGACACGGTTTGGAGATGTTTTCTTTAGTTCCTGACAAGCTTATGTCATCACTCTGGAAATGGAAGAGGTGGGGTGGGGACAAGGGCTGGGGGAGATGGGGGGGAGAACCAACTCTATCCAACTTTCCGGGAGATTATTAATCTGACCCAACTTCCAATGAGAGGAAGAAAAAGCAAAGCCATCCTGGGTTGTGTGTCCTTTCCTAGTTACCTCTCCGGTTTTGCAAATGGTTTCTTTGTGCTAGGAGCGTCTGTAGTTGGCCTTTTCTCAGCTTTGTGAGTTATAGAAACTTGTTCCGAATGCTGCCTCTTCTTTTTTTAATGAGGATTTAAAATAAAAAAGGAAAAGAGGAAAATAGTTTTCTTTTTTCTCTCTTTTCTTTTCTTTTCCTTTTTTTCCCCTTGTTGCAGAAGGAACTTAATTCCGTGGCGTCGAGCCGCGCGGCGGGGGGAGAGCAAGCCTTCTCAGAAACATTTAATCCAACTCCGACGGGAATTTAAGAAAAATGTACCTGAGGTACGGCGTGTTTGCTGCTTATGGAATTAACTCTGTGGGCATGCAAATTTCCCCTCGCTCCAACTGGATTTTGAAAACTATAGACACAAGTGACTTAAGAAGAAAAGAAGCTAATTAGCCACAAAGAAAAATGACAGCCCCAGGCCGCGTTTTTTTCCGTTCTGGGAACTCGGCTCGGGCTAACATCAGACAGAGCCTTGCTCTGTGAAAGCCATTGGTGGGGGGGGCGGGGGGACCAGGAATGAATGCTTGGCCCCCGCAGCCTGGTTGATTAGGCAGATCTGTGGTTTTATTTTGCTTTTCTGTCAGGGTCTGGAGAATGGCAGCTAGAGACTCTCCCACCCCCCCACTGCCTAGAAATCCACCTGTCCCAACCCTCGGTGCCTCCCTCCCTCCCGGCTGGCCCCAGCCCTCTTTCTGGGGTGCCATGGAGTGGCCCCATAATGGCCTGGCCCCCAGAGGGACAGACAAGCACCCACACGCTTGTGCTTCACAGAGGTGAAGGGGGGGAGCACGTTCTTCCTTCCTCCAGCCCGCCCCCATCCCCTCTCAAATCAAAAGAAAAAATGGCTATAAACACGGGAGGAAAATGAGGCTTGGACTGTGCATAACAACCTGGCAGAGACGCGGCACATAGAGGCAAACCCACCCCTGGCAGGCGCCCCGGGCACGGGCTGCGGGCACAGTGGGCTGGGACTGGGGAAGAACGTGTCTAGAGGGCATGCCTGGAGGACAGGGCTGACACTCCGATCAGAGCCCCCGCCCCGTCCTCCCGAGGACGCAGCCACCCCCACCACGCCTTCCCTTTTAAACTGATCACAGCTTCCAAGTTAGAATGTCCCTTCTCCCAAGATCGAGACTGCCCGCTGGCTCTCCCATCTCTGGGAGCAGAGTTGGATTAGGCACTGATCCACACACCCTCCTCTCTCTCCCTCCCCTGCCCCCCCTTTCTCTCTCGCCTGCTCAGACCCTCAGTCTCATCTTCTTTTCCCCAACACAGGGAACTTGAGCCCCTCCCCCTCCCTCCTTCCCCCCCTCCCCCCCCCCGGGGGTGGGGGGCTCCAGGTAATGAGAGAATCTAGGCCAGGTTTTAAGGCTCCAAGTTTGACTTATATAATTTTAATACTACATAATTATGCAATTATGCAATTAGGAGGAATAAGTTTCCACTCCTGTTATAGTCACGGCTCTGAAAATGCTCATTTTTGGAACTCGCGTCTCCTGATGGGAGAATGGTGCCAGCGCTTTATTTAAGAGCATCGTCTGCCTGGTCCCCCTCACCTGCCGCGCGGGCCTGCGCCCCCTCCTGGGGGGGCTCCCCGAGATGGCTGTCAGGCTCTCCCGCCCCGTGGCCCCTGAGCCTCGTGTGCTCACTTGTGGTTGAGAAGAGATTTGCGGGGAGCCAGGCGGCCTGGGTTCGGGTTCAGCTGCTTGGCCGTGAGCCGCAGCCTCGGAGCCTCTGCCTCCCTCCGGCCACGCCCGCCACGGGTGCTCTGAGTCTTCCAGGCTGGCACGTGGTGTTGGATTTCACCCACCAGATGGTGACACCTGCGTCCCTGGGGTCTGTGGGTGGCTCTCGCGGCCCACCCATGCCTTTTGGAGTTAAGCTCCAGCTCCTCTTATGCCCAGTCTGGCCGCCTCCTGCATGGGCATCTGGTGGCCACATGATCACCCCCCCGCCCCCGTCCCTCACCCCTCCTCATAACCACAGGGCAGCATGTTTTCGTGATCCTGGGGTTTCTTCCCTTTCCTCAGGCAACCTCCTCTCCTCCCCTCTTCCTCCCCTCTTCCTCCCCTCTCTCCCTCCTCTCCCTCTCCTCTCCCCCTCCTCTCCCTCCCTCTCCCTCTGCCCCAGCTCCTCCTCCTGCGGGCTATGCCCCTGGCCAGGTCTGGAGTGGTTCTCAAAGACCACTAGTGGCATGGGGCCCCGCAGGGCTCTGAAGACCACACCTTCGTGGGAGTTTGGTCCTCTGTGGAGAGCACTGCAGGGCCGGGGGCCAGATGCATGCACAGAAATGAGAGCCCACTGCGGAGGAAGGGGGCAGACGGAGGGGCCCTGCTGTGAGGGACAGGGGAGGCAGCCTCCGTGGGTGTTCCCCGAGCACACTAGGTTTGTCTGGGCTGGCCTCAGACCACGATCCTCCTATCTCCACCTCCCAAATAGCAGGGATCACAGCTTTCGCATCAGCCAGGCCAGCTGGGAAACCCAGGTCCTCTCTCTCATGCCAGAAATTCCCAGAGTGCATTGCAGTAAAGGTTCTGAAAAGGTCCCGCAGGTTGGGCTGTGTGCATATGCATGTGTGAATGCATGTGTGCACGTGTGCGTGCTCACGCGTGTGTCCCTGATGAAACCCCACAGAGTGTAGGGGACGGCCCTCCGGGACCAGAGGTGCCCTCCCGGCCCGTGTGAACTCTTTGCTGATTTCTTTTTTCAGGAAATCAGAGAGATGGTGGCTCCTGTGTTAAAAAGCTTCCAAGCCGAGGTAAGACCTGAGCCCCTGTGATTCTGGGGTCAGCTCTCCGCTGTCCGGGCCCCACATCCTCCCACTTCTGCAAGGTGACCTGAGGGGCGGGGCTTCTCACTCCCCTGGCCCAGCTGGAGGGAGGCCGGGATCTGGAGTTTCACTGGGTCTGGAGCTGCCTGGCTCCGTCTCAGGGAGCTTCTCCTGGGCCACCCCCAGATCTGGCTCAGACCGGATCAGAGGCCTGACCCCTCTCAGATCTTGGTGGGATGGGTTCAAATCCCACCACTCCCCCAGGCCTCACGTGACCTTGGCTCTGTCTTTTTGCTAGTTAAGTGGAAATAAGAATCTCACGGACTTTCCTGCCCAGGCTGGCTTTGAGCTGTGATTCTCAGATTTCAGCCTCCTTGAGAAGCTAAGATTACAGGCGTGAGCACCTTTGCAGGGCACTGGTGTCCATTGTTGGTCAGCCTTCTTTTTTCTTACCACAGAACTAGTGTGTTTGTTTATTGACACTGCTGCCAACTTGGTTCCTTTGGGTGTGAAGGACTCAGGAGCAGAGAATATCAGCAGTGGGTTTTCCTGGCTTTCCATTTGTAAAAGAAGTTCTGGCTTGTGCTAGGTCAAGGAAGGATGGGCCTCAGTTTCCCTCTGTGGTGGGAGAATGACCAAGCCGATGGGGAGACGTGATCCATGCCAGCACTCACTCGACAGCTTTGAAGGCTGTGTGTCCTGCCCCTGCTGTGTGAGCTTGGGCAGGTCGCTTGCAGTCTCTGTGCCTCAGGTTCCTCCTCTGCGTAGTGGGTGGTTGTTATTCCTCTTCACAGAGTGGAGACAGAAGAAGAGGGAAGCCATGGTAAGGGGGTGTCCGAGTGCCGGCGTGCCCTCCAGCTGTCTCGGCGCTACTCTTCCTGTCTTCAGGGCCCCCCGCCTGGTTCATGCGGCTTCTGCTGTGGCTGGCCTGGTGCCCTCCGTTCCCGGACTCAGGGTTGTTTTTCATTTGTAGTTTTCTGAGTACTGAGGCCGGAACTTAAGAGTCTCACATTACTAGGCAGGTGCCGTACCTCTTAAGCCACGCTCCCAGCCCTTTTTTTGCTTTGGGATGGGGTCTCACTAGCTTTGTCTGGACTGGCCTCATATCACAATCCTCCTATTTCCACCTCCCAAGTAGTGGGGATTACAGGTGTGAGCCTTACTCCTGGCCCCAACTCAGAGCTTTTTATCAGGAAGAGACAGAGGGAGAGAGGGAAGGAGGGAGGGAAAGGAAAAGAAAAGAGGTGCCTTCTGAGGCCGTTGAAGCTTTCAGTAGAAGAGTTGAGTAGCCAAATGCGCACGCAGCGCAGACTCTGGCCTGGGGAAGATTCCAGTCTCAGCCCTGATCCTCCAGCTGTTGTGTGGCCTAATGGGCTTTCCGCAACCTCTCTGAACCTCAGCTCCCTCCCAGGCCACAAAGTGAGGACTTAACAGTACTTTATAGGTCCATGGCAGGTGCTAAGTGCTTGGTACCCAGTTGGTACTCAACAGGTGCACCTTGTTAAATGGTGCTCAGTAAGCACACCTTGCTAGCACTGATGGGAACCACAGAGCCAGAGGCTTCCCCCTAAAACCTGTGCGTCGATGGCACACATCCTGTTAATAGCTGGGGGGTCTTCAGGGAACCCCGCTAATTTTCTTCTGAGGGCCTTCCATCCTCTCTGGAACCTATCAAAAAGACTATGCTTTCTGGAAGGCTGTCCCAAAGCCCTGCTTCCCCCGGGGCGGACCGCCGCAGCCCGGCCAGCTGCGGGCCCCCGGCAGGCGCTCAGCCACAACGCCTCACCATAGAGCCCAAATAGGATTTCCAGTGTATGCATTTACTTACTTACTTATTTTGTGTTGGTCCCGGGGCTTGAACTTAGGGCTTGGGCGCTGTCTCTGAACTCTTTTTGCTGAGGACTGTGGCACTCTACCACTTGGGCCATAGAGCCACTTCCAGCATTTTGGTAATTCATTAGCAGTAAGAGTCTCACAGATGCCAGGTGCCAATGGCTCATGACTGTAATCCTAGCTACTAAGGAGGCTGAGATCTGAGGATCAAGGTTCAAAGTCAGCCCGGGCAGGAAAGTCCATGAGACCCTTCTCCAGTTAACCCCCAGAAAACCAGAAGTGGCGTGGCAGCTCAAAGTGGTAGAGTACTCGCCTTGAGTGGAAGAGCTCAAGGACAGCGCCCAGGCCCCAAGTTCAAGCCCCACAACTGACAGAAGAAGAGAGAGACAGAGACACAGAGACAGAGAGTGTCAGAGTCTCACAGACTTTCCTGCTGGGAGCTGGCTTTGAATCATGAGCCTCAGATCTCAGCCTCCTGAGTAGCTAGGCTTACAGGTGTGAGTTCCTTTTCTCTTTTCTTTTCTGGGTCGTGGGGGACACGATCTGCTGGCCATGGCCAGGCCGCTTCTGTCCCTGCCTCAGTGGCTGAAATCACCATTTGCTGAGCTCCCCGCTTGGTAGATGGGGCCCGGCCCAGGGAGTGGCTTCCGTGGACAGTGCTTCTGGGTGACCGCGGTTTGAGGGTCTTTGCTCATGGAGAAAAGAGCAAAGCAAAAGCCCCGCTAATTACAAAAGTTGCTCCATGAAAGATAATTCAAAGCAATAATTTAGCAAACATAATCAAGCCGCACAGATGGAGTTGTTGATGGATGGATCGCAACATGCAATTAGCCGTTCTCAGAGTTACATATCATTAACCCTCCGAGCACAAAAATTATTTTCTCATTATTAGTTGAAAAGGTAAAATTAAGCTGACTAGACAGTAAAGGGGAAGGGAAAAAACTACAATTAATTACCTTCGTTTATTACAGTCATTATTTTAAACTTATTTTTACTTAGAGGAAGAGAGACATGAAAACATCTAAATTAAAAGTTGGGTGATGGTGGACTTGAAGGTGAGCCTCTGTCTTTCTCCTCTCCCCCTCCCCCTCCCCACCGAGGGCACATAACCTAGGTGCCTATGGCAGATTTCGGCCTTGCCAGCTCTGAGCAGCTGCCTGCCATTCCCACCAAAGTGCCACTAAAGCTGTCATGCCGCATTACAACCAAATTAAGCACCGGTAGCCACCCCCCCCCCCCGTGCCTTATAAAGTAAATTATGAGCGCTCCTGCCCCCAGTTAAGCAGTTATTTGCAGCTGTTCTGGGTATTTCTCATTAGAAATAACATCATCTAAAGAAGGCTATTGATTGATTTTTTTAATCTTGGAATCATGGACGTGAACCACATATTTATATGACATTGCCTTTAACTAGAATTCTCATGCTTTATTTTTATATTATTGATCTTTTTGACATGAATTGCTTTCTGGCCTCGTGTGAGTGTTGTAAGCTTTCCGCCTGTAGAGAAATGGGCCAAGCAGGCTGGGCTGGGAGAGTGATTGCCGGAGCCATGTGGAGGCAGCCATGCCGGCCCGCGGAGGCTGGAGTCTCCACTCTGCTCCGGGCATTTATGAGCCTCTTAGTGGACTGCATTATGGCAGGCCCGGGCACTGGGGGGCGCTGCGGGGTGAGGGTACAATCCATCTCCAGGCCCTGTCTGTCTAGATCTCTGCGCACCGTCTGCCTCCTGGGTGGGGTGGGGAAGGTGGAAGCTACTGGAACAGCAGAGACAGACACAGGCGGAGCACTCGGCCGGCCCTACCACCGGGCAGTGGGTGTTTGTTGGGCATCGGTGTGCATGGTACTGGGCACAAGGATACACATGGATTCCTGTACACCTGGCCTGAGGGTGGGGAATGTCGTGGCCAGGGTCACACAGGCCCAGGTGCGTGTGGCAGCCCTGCCCACTGCTAGCTCCTCTGGGAGCCTCAGCTGCCCCGTCTGTAAAATGGGCTTGAGCCCTCATGCTTTTAAGGATTCTGAAGCCAAATTCCATTATAGAGCAAGTTGCCTGCTGGAGACTACATGAAATCCCCAGGCCTTCGTGGTGATAACTGCGTGGACTTGGGCAGTGGACATGGGCCTGGGTGGCAGTCGTGTGAATCTGGGTGATGGACCTGTGGACCCTGGGCGGTTGCCTGTGGACCTTGGCAGTGGCTGCATGGACCCCAGTGGTGGACCTGAGTGGTGGCCATGTGGATCTAGGCGGTGGCAAAGTAACCAAAAGTCACACAGCTGGTGCTAAGTGGCAGAGACAAGATTCAAACCCTGGCACTCGGGCTCCAGACCCCTGCCTGGTCTGTATTCTTTATTAGGCCCCTACCGTGTTCCAGCCCTCGGGGATTTGGCAGTGACGCATGGGCCAGCCCTTGGTCTGACGTGCACACGCACTCCGGGGACACCTGGAAAAGCAGCTCTATGCACAGACATTCCGCTGCTCTGCCAGGTCACGCGGAGGCCGTGTGGACAGGCTCCTTCGGGTGCACGGCGTGGGGACATGTGACCATGTAACCAGTCAATTATAATAATATTTTTCTCTCCGAATGTTTCCAAAGGGAGGGGGAGTTGGCGTGCTGAGGAATAACCGCGGCTCAGAGGCCGAGCTGCCATTAGTTATTAATTAGGCCATTATGCATTGCACACAGATAATTGCTTTGCTGTGGAGTCACCAAGCGTGAAACGGACCCAGCCCAGAAACGCCATCTATCAATCTGGGAAGCCGCAGCCGCTGCGTCCTCTCACCTTGAGCCGGTGTGCATCTTAGCAGGGAAGGCAAAGAAATGAGTCTACGCAATGGGCAGGAGGGAGCGGGCAGCCCCGCCCGGCCGGGAGACAGCGGCCCAGCCGAGTGTCCATTTGTCTCCTGTTGGGCAGAAATCATCCCGGTGCTCCTCCCTGCCCTTGGTATCTCGGGGGCAGGGGGGGTGGTGTTGGGGGACCCGAAGAAGCCACCTTTCTGTGGGTCTTGCTGTTGCTCCTGGCAGCTGCCAGGGACAAAGTCTGGTATTCCCAGGCCTCAGAGGGGGAGGGAAGGAGACCCCAGCCCCACCCCCGAGTCCCCTGGGGGTCTGCAGAGGGGACAGGGCCGGCCCGAGAGCACAGGGTCCATCTTAACAGAGCCTGGGAGCCAATGGTGGCGCTCGCTGAGATCCCGCGGGTAGCCCAGGACAGTGCTGTCTCTTTGGAGATCAGTCTCACAGACGTTCATGCCTGGGCTGGCTTTGAACCTCAATCCTCAGCCTCCTGAGTGGCTGGGATGACAGGCGTACGCCGCCGGCACCAGGCTGGATGCCACCTTGACCCCTGGCCCTCACCTCAGTCTAGGGGGTCTCCCAGCCAGAGATATAGGGGCCTGGAGGAGCTCGATCAGCTCTGTGTTCCACACCCATGGGTGGGGGGGATTGGGGCCTCGTGGGGGGCTTGGCTGTTTAGAAAAGCAGTTGTCCAGGCTCTGGGGGCCTGAAGTCCAGGCAGCGGGACCAGCATTTACCCCAGTCCCTGGGCACCTGCTCACCACCTGACCGCAAAAGTCTCTCTCTAAGGGGCAGAGTGTACAGGCAAGGTGAGACCAGAGGACGCGGGGGCCCTGGGTCCACGCAGACCCAGCTCGTCCCCACAGATGGCTGCCTGCCAGCTCCAGGTGGCCGCGGATGGAATCGTGGGCCCGGATGGCCAGATCCTCTGATTTCCCCTGAGAAACGAGCAATTTGGAACTCTCCTCGTTTTTAAATACTGGCTTGATATATATGCACATATTTTCATGCCCACAGAACTTTCTGGAGTTATCATTTACATAAGCAAAACGCCCCAGTCTGAAGTAGATGACTTGATGGATCTTGACAGCTGAAATATTTTTAAGATATAAAAGGTCCAAGAAAGGGGGAGCCTGGGACACATCAGCCCCCAGACACGGGGGGGGACAGCCCACGGGCCCCCTTCGCGGGGGACAGCCCACGGGCCCACCCGGCCTCATGGAAGGGGGACTAATCTCAGCAAGATGATACGTTGCTCTCGGCTGAAACCCACACTCATCTCCCTCAGTGGCACAGCTCTAGGGGTGGTTTTTCTGGTGCCAGTGCTGGGACTTGAACTCAGGGCTTCTGCTCTTGTTTGGCTTTTTCACTCAAGGGTGGCACTCTCCCACTTGAGTCACATGTCCACTTACGGCTTTTTATCAGTTAGTTGAAGATAAGAGTTGCTCGGATAAGCTGAGTACCAGTGGCTCAAGCCTGTCATCCTAGCTACTCAAGAGGCTGAGATCTGAGGATCTCGGTTTGAAGCTAGTCTGGACAGAAAAATCCATGAGACTCTCATCTCCAATTAACCACCAAAACAACAGCAACAACAACAACAACAACACCAGAGCTGTGGCTCAAGTGGTAGTGCTAGCCTTGAGCAAAAAAAAGCTCAGGGACAGTGCCCAGACCCTGAGTTCAAACCCCAGAACTGGCTCCAAAAAATAAAAAAATAGGTCTTTCAGATTTTGTTTGCGTGGGCTGGCTTTGAACTTGGATCATCAGATCTCAGCCTCCTGAGTTGCTGGGATTACAGGCATGAGCCACCAGCGCCCAGCAGCTCGGTGGGATTTGATTGATAGTGTCACAAAACACAGCCCCAGAAGAGGTGAGGACATGGGCACCCCTGACTCACCGCAGGGAAGCCGTTCACCTGCTTTGGGAGATAAGGTGGCGTAAACCCCAGCCTTCGTTTCCTGCCACGGCGGCTGGAGGGTTAACCCAAAGACCCCTCCCACCTGCCTTTTCCACCCGGCCTCAGACTCTGGGCTGCATTCACCAGAAGCCCGCCCTTTTGGGGTGCATTTGGAGGGTCAGATGGATTCCTTCTCATGAAAAGTCTTTGTACGCTATAAAAAGCTGTAGATTAAAATTGGAAGGTATTATGATTGTAATTTTATGCAGTGGGGGGTGGTTTTTGGAGGCTCCATGGCTCGTCCCTCACGGCAGAGGTGGCTAGAAGGTGACACGTGCGGCCCGGGCCACCTCTGGCCACAGCAGCAAGGACAGCGCGGGCTCCCCTGCCCGGCGCTTCGTGCACGTCGGCACAGAGCCACACTCGGGGTACCCCCCAGCACCCCAAAGCAGCAGCGGTGGCTTCCCGGTGCCATAATCTATTGTCCAGCCTCCTCCTCTAGCTCACCCTCCCCCCCCCTCCCGCGTGGCAGGAAGCAGGGCCTGGCCTGGCCTGGCCTCCCGGCCTCCGCCCTTCATCCTGTCCATCGGTGGCTGCTTTCTTCCTCTCGTTTTTTCCCCTAGTATCCCAAAGCAAAATTTGTTTGTAAGGCACGAAAGAAAGCCTCCCGTGCCTTGTATGCCGGAGCCCTCGGAAGTGCAGGAAATTGTGTATTCACTGCAAAAGAAAAAAAAGCCCTGGCTTATACAATTTTAACAATAGAAAAAAATGATCTTTGTGCTTCAGTGCGTGGCTACTTAGAGGAACACAGGCGGCGCATTCAGGTGGCTGCGGAATTACAAATGAGCGGTGGCCTTTGTTTTCAGTGACAAGCAATTTAAATGCGATCTTATAAGAAGGCTGGGAGATTCCCCCCCCCACACACACACACCTCAGGAGATGGGAAGGGGAGAGAGGGAGGGAGGGAGGGAGGATAAATAAAGGAAGCAAGCTTTCTTCTTCAACTACTGATGCTCGATCTGAGTTGCCCAGGCCAGAGGTGAGAAGTTATACTTTCATCTGATAATTCTACAATCAGCAGTTTGTGATCGGGCGTAATTATAGCATCACTAACAGCAGACCTGCAGTCTCTGTGGGGCATGTGGTGTTTTGGGGGGCTTCTCCCCCCACGTGGTGTCTCGGGGTGTCTGATGCGGGTGTATCTGGGGCCTGAATTTTATCACAGAAGAAGGGGTTCCTCACGCCAGCCTTCGAAAACACTTTGCTGAGCACATTATTATTAACTTATTTGTGTGTGCGCGCACACGCTCGTGTGCACGTGTGTGCATGTGCGCATGCATGCCAGTCCTGGGGCTTGAACTCAGGGCCTGGGTGCTGTGCCTGAGACTTTTTGCCCAAGGCTGGCGCTCTACCACTTGAGCCACAGCTCCTCTTCCTGCTCTTTGGTGGTTCATTGGAGATGAGATTTTCCCGAATTTTGGTAGTCATGTTCTTCAAAAGTACAGATTACCTCTGTGCCTCTGCTCATGTGAAATACTTATTAAAATGAAGTCTAGAAAACAGGAGAAAGTGGAGATTATATCTTATCACTCAGAGGTGTAATCCATAGTTTCAAAAAGCAGAGTGGGTGATTGCAGAACCTCTTTTCCTGTTCTGAAATCCACTGTGTTTCACACTCACAGTCGATCCACTTATTGACAGCCCACTGTTTGCCCATTCCTGGGCTTAGCACTGTCTGCACTCCCTTTAATCCCAACACCAGGCCTGGGAGGTGGGTCCCACTGTCTACACACATGCCATTTTTGTAGCCAAGGATGCCAAAGATCAGAGAGGATGGGTGACTTTCCTGAGGTCACCCAGCCTGGGCACGGGGCTCCCCCACACTGCAGCCCGGCGCTACACCCCGCCTTGCCCCCCATGGGTGACTTGTGCCCCCACGGCGACACACATGACACTTTCTCTTGTTTCCAAAGGTGGTGGCTCTCAGTAAGAGGAGTCAGGAGGCGGAGGCGGCTTTTCTGAGTGTTTACAAGCAGTTAATTGAAGCGCCAGGTAAGAAACACGGGGCTCCGAGTTGGTGTAGTGCTTCGTGGCCAGAGCCTGGGCTGCCTGGGCTCGGGGGTGCGGCCAGGTCCCCGGGCCAGGGGGTTTGTCTGTCCAGCGTGATGTCCGTGGCGCCCTCTGCCTCCCTCAGAGGAGAACCTGGCCAGTATCCCACCGGGTCTTTCCTGCTATGCCCTCTCCTGGGCGCAAGCATCGGCCCCAGTGCTCTGCCAGCAGGGGGCGACGGAGAGGCCGCACCCACCCTGCCTGCAGAGTGACAGAGCCAACCCCACCTTGATGCCGAGAGAAGGCATGAAGCACATAGCCGCACTGACAGACACAGGCAGGCAGACAGGCGGGCAGGCAGCCACAGTCTGCTAAGACTGCTCACACTAGCCAGGGCAAATGTTCATCAGCGGCGGGGTGGCTTTCAGATACGTAGCACCGCCATCAGTGGAATATTATTCAGACGTGAAAAGGAATGAAGCGCCCACATGTGTTAAACTACAGAGAGAAGACAGTGCTTTGTGAGAGCAGTCACCGATGCCCCATTCCTCTTGATGCCATGTAAAAGAAATGTCTAGAACAGTGTACCTGTGACAAGCCATGGGGACCGGCGGAGACAGGGTTGCCTGGGGTGGGGACGGGGACAGGAAGTGACTGCTTAGTGGATGTGGAGTTTTATTTTTTGACAATAAAAATGTTCTGGAACTAGACCATCGAGATTGTAGAGCCTCAGGGGTATTGAATGGCCCTGAAATGGTGTGTGTGTGTGCGCACGCGCGCGTGCACACGCACATACACATGCTCATGCGCCAGTGTGTGCCAGTCCAGGGGCTTGAACTCAGAGCCTAGGCGCTGTCTCTGAGCTTTTGTGCTCAAGGCTAGCACTCTACCACTTGAACCACAGCTTCACTTCTGGTTAAGTGGAGTTGAGAGTCTCATGGACTTTTTCCTGCCTGGGCTGGCCTTGAACTGTGAGCCTCGGATCTCAGCGTCCTGAGTCGCTGGGACCTGGCGCTCGGTTGAATTGTGGATTTTTAAGTGCTGCTTTTGCGCGACGTAAGCACCGTCTTGGCTGAGGAGGGCGTGTGTGGCGGGGGGAGGGCGTGCTGTGGCGTTGGGCCCGCTGCAGGCGTGGGGCTCCATTGGGGTCACGGGTACAGCCAGGCACTGGTGGCTCATGCCTATAATCCCAGCCACTCTGGAAGCTGAGATGTGAGGATCGTAGTTCAAAGCCAGCCTGGTCAGAAAAGTCCCTGAGACTTGTATCTCCAATAAACTATAGAAAAAAAAGGAAGTGATGCTGTGGCTCAAGTGGTAGAGCGCTAGCCTTGAGCACAAAGAGGCTCAGGGACAGTGTACAGGCCCTGAGTTCAAACCCTAGGACCAGCGCGCGTGCGCACACACACACACACACACACACACACACACACACGTGTTCAAAGAGCCAAACATCTCTGTAATCCCAGATACCAGAGGCTGAGATGAGAAGATTGA